GAAAGGTCCAAGATCTGGTCCAAAGAGTTCTGCATGAAGTCCAATCTGCTGTCCACATGCGCATGCAGCGACAGTACACTGTTCTTCAATACTTTCATTTGGTCAGACATGGTTGACTCATCCAAACCCTCTACTGCAGCTTTGTCTGCCTCTAACGTATGAAGCCTGGCTGTTCTATTTTTAATCTCTTTTTCTCTATCGGTAGCTTGCTTCAGTTCCCTCTCTAACCGCTCGTGGATCCTTCCGACTTGTTGGAGCTCTAGGAGCTCTCTGCCGCGTGGGGTCAGCGGGCTTAACTGCGAGCCCGCCATTTGACTTGTGGACTGACTAGAACTTACTTCCCCGGAAGTACCCGTGGGCCCAACGGGCATTCCCAAATGGGTCCCAGACGAGGACGCAGACGAGGACGCAGCAGAGGATGCAGCAGAGGCTGCGCCGTTAGCCATTGCTAATGCTCTGGCTGCTGCTGCCTGCTCTCTAGCTGCTGCGTTTGCTGCTGCCAACGCCTGACTTGCAGCTAGTGCTGTTTCCCTGGCCGCTGCGAGAGCACGAGCTTTGCGTTCGGCACGAAGCCGTCTTTCGTCTTCCCGTTGTAAGGTCAGGAACACGTGCGGGACCCTAAGTGATCTCGAACGTGTTAGTCTCACATCGACACTCCACCCTCATCGGTGTCTGCCCGCTCATCAGTTAGGCAAACACTATCTGCACTACAACTCCTTGCTGGAGTCCTACCACAGCATATGTCTCACCGCCACCTAGTTTTCTTAAATAATTGTGTCCGGCAGGTCCCCTACTTGACCAATCAAGTGGCAGCTTACAACATTCACAGAAGACGGTCAACATAGTTTTGATTCCATTATGAGTAGTTCACTTACAGAAGCTTGCACAGAACTGGCTATGGTAGTATACAACAGTTCTATACTAAACTGTCTGTGAGGTGTTAGCAGTCTGTCAACCAACTAATCAACAATAAAACCAGACTATATTGCAGATGTATGAACAGTGGATATAGTTGTGTTTACAATTGAGCACCAATTAGAACCTACCCTCCCCTAAATCCAACATACCGAAGAGCATCTTTGAGCAACAGTGTCTTGGTGTGTAATGTCGGCCCACCCCTGTGCCCCAAGTCACTGCCGAGCAAGCCAGCCCATCCACTCTTATTTACCCTCGTACGGAACGAGCCTTACTACCCGGATTGATCTGGCTGATCAGGAGGGATTTAAGGAGAGCCCCCATCTCCTCAGGAATTATTTAACGTCGCAGTCAGGACGATGATCACAGCCAGTATCAACACCGAGTCACCAACCAGAAGTATTTATAGACGGTCTGGAAAGCGTCTCTTATGGGCTGGCACTTCGACACGACTGCTTCAGCGCAGCAAAGTGCCAAAATGGACAAGCAGCCATCGCATGCGTGACCTACTCCCATTGGGTTGGCATGGTGACCGTGACCCAAGTGCTTTGACCAGGGCCCTTCAGAGGCACCGCCCTTTCTCCTTCCAGATGCTTCCGGGAAGATTGTCGTCTCTCAAGGTAGCGCGCACACGACACCTCACCAAAAGAGAGGACTCTCAAGTTGGACTCACTTCCTCGCAGTAAGAAGAGATTGAGAGAGTAGATAAGGTAAGGGAACAACGTACCTGGAGATAGCTGCCCCCAACCACAGATTTCTCACCAATTGAGTAGAGTGTGCATTTGATGACCGGTCGTAGCCTCGGTACCACCCACAACGCAATGCAGTGCCACCTCACCACATCAGCATGCTCTCATCACCAATCATACATTCCATTGTAACCACGACAACCCATGCCGTATAGCCTTCCGGCGCACACCTCTCTACCCAGGTCGCGCACCTAATATGGCCTGATCTCACAAGAACCAACTGCGAAGAAGCATCGTCAACGCACCAAGTCTGTATAACGCCAGCGCACCAAGGTAAGTGGCGAATCGAACCAGCTCCGATACCAAAATGTAAGGAACATGAATGTGGACGAAGCACAAAAATCCAGGTTGCAAAATCACACTGAAGTCCAAGTAGTCAAAGCAAGAGCAGATAACACAATGGAACCGAGTAACCATCCATTTGAGAACGAAACAGAAGAATCGTGAGTCAATGTCCAAGCCCAATCGGGCAACACAAACAGCATAACCCAATGTAGCTCTCTCTCTTGAATGGCGCCAGGCGCCCTACCTACTTTACAGCCTATCACTACAACATGAAAGCAACCAGACAACTTGACGGCCAGCGAGTGATGATGTCAACACCAATGCCAACCTCCTCTCCACCAGGTACGTCTCTCTCTCTTCACCCACACTCTCCCTTGTTATCCCACACAGCGCCCTTCACCTCCGACGAACCACGTTCGCCCTTCACCGTATGCTCCCACAGGCAGCCCGGCTATGGCCGCCCGGGCCCTGGGCCCAGGCTGCGCTCTACCGCTTAGCGCCAGCCTGCTCTCCCTCAGCCTAGCGCAGCGCAGTCACACGCACAATGCAGCAGCGTGCCGGCCTTGCTCGCAATGGCCAAGATCCCTGCCCACTCGCCCTCCCTGCCTATATGCCAGTGTTGCGTGTGGGCGGCCTCCCTTGAGCCTGCGCCTGGGCCCTAGTACCTGTACCCAGGCCCAATGCGGTTGGGGCCCAGGAGATGTAGTTGCGTCCCTCTCATCAAGGCCTGCGGCCAGATTCAAATAGTGGACCGGTTTCCCATTGGCATTTTCGGCCTCTGTATGGTCGGCCTCACGTTTATGTGCCTCGAGCCTAACCAATTATGGGGCCCTGGCATGTTTGCATTTGCAGAGATCCGATACTCGGTGCACTCCAACCAACTGGCGTGCGGCAACTGTATGGACCCCACTTCGTGAAAGGTTTGAACAAAGGGCTCTTGTTGATTTGCTGGCCCGCCTTCACTTAGGGCGGGCACGAGGCTTGCTGGGGGCCTTAGCCCAGAACATGTACATCACGGCAAGGCCCCCTTTGAGGGCCCAATCCTCACAGGTTGATTGATCGATTGGTAATCTGGGAGTCCAGATTCACAAGGGCAGCTGTGATACCAACCGATGCATGCTCAGTAGAGCAATGCATGGGGAGCCAAGGATCCGCAAAGTGACGAAATGGACTCGAATGGACAATGCAGTGTTAATGCAGTGTTAGCAAAACATCAACAGCAATGTACATCCAGATACATACAAATGCAGTGAACCCAGATCGTGAAGACACTTGTCGACAATGCAAGCCCAGATTAATATAAACCTGCTGAGGATTATCAATAATCATAATCGTGTCTAGATAGAATGAGATGGGAAAATCATACACACCACCTCAAATAATAAATAGTCTGAACGAACATCTGAAGTTCTACTACAATGTGCCATGTGGCACGTCAATCAGTCCTCATCAGCGCACTGGACCAATGTCGGCCTCAAAATGACCGGGTATCAGGTAACCCTGAGCGGCATCATCCCTGGGCTGCGCTGAGGGAGATTGACATACAGTATCAATCTCCAGGAGAAATAACCCCATCTGGGGCTATTTTTAGCATCAGCGGCTACCAGGCACTGCGGCGAGATATTTTGGTGTTGGCATACTAGGCGCCACAGGACCAGATACAGTGTATCTGGAGTGAGGGGATGCAGCGCTACAGGACCCTGAGGAGGATCAACGAATTTGGAGCAGTTCTGTGCGTGGGATTGTCAGGAAGAATATCTGGAGGAATTGGCGAGATAAGGGTTATCATCAGCCATAGCCGGATCTTCATCATTACCAGCAAGATTCTCTGAAAGTGAGTCCGTTCCATGCACCTACCTGATCCAGATAGTATTAGTTTAGTGAATTATAATGGTCTATCTGTCTGTCAATGACTGGATGTGAAAATTGCAGACTGCATGACAGCCATAGCCATCTCTCCCCTACCCCTCTCTGCTCATTTCTCACCCTCTGTTGACTCTTTCTGATCCAAAATTGTTCTGTGACTGCTACACTGCATTGCGATTATTCAAGGATGCTCAAACTGTGAATTCTGCACTGGAAAGGTAGTGATACTGTGAATTCCAGTTTTGCGCTGAGTCTATTTATAGTTTGTGCTACCTAGGGCCAGTCATAGCTTCAATTCTGTCCGTCAGAATTCATTTCTGTCAGTCCCTAGTGAATCGCAATCCAAAAATAGACAATACTGTAGAATCGCAGAGTTGGATTTGCAGTATTTCATTGGATTTAGTGAAAACTGTAATTCGCCATACCCTAGGGTATGGCCGCAAGAGTCATCAGAGTCTAAAACTGAGTGTGAGTCATGATACAGGGTATTTGTCTGCATCGCTTGTTGTGGTTGATCTCTCTTGTCTGTACTAACCATGTTCTATCATTCCCACTGACTATTGTTTTCTAGTGGGTACTGGAAATCTAATGGGTCTCTGGAAGAGTAATGGAGTTACTCTACTTACTCTAGTGTGGTCCAGGGTCAGTAAAAGGAAATCGTGTGACTGATTTTGCTAGACAGAGTGTGTCTGACACCTGACCCCAGGGACACCTTTCCAACCCAAACTGTTGATTGCCTGTACACCCACTTATTCCAGTGTTGAGTATTTGCAGCGATTCCAGGGTGTCTGAAGGAATCTAAGTATTGCTGCGGACTCTGTTTGCTGTTTATTTGATTTTTGTTTTATTTTGAACAGGGAAAATGTTTGATCAGGGAATTGAGCAGCAGCCACAGGTGGAAGTGGTGATGAAGGTAGAAGGTGAACAACCTTCAGCCTCCGCCTCGGACTACTTCGTAAATTGACTTTTTTACTTTGATAAACGACTAAGATAGATAAATAAGTAAATATTGCTACTCAGCGGTTGAAGAAGGAGCTGGAAGAACAACTGCGGCAGCAACAGGCCAGACTTGCAGAGCTGGAACAGTAATAGATAGCTGAGCTAGAAGCTGCAATAGATCATTCCAGAAGAGAATATCTGTTGCAGCAGCTAGACAAAGCGCTCACAGATGATCGTTGTTCCCAGGCTACCAAGCAGATGGCAGAGATGATCCTGTTGGAACACAAGATCACCAGCTCCCAGTTCACGAACTGGGATGATCGCTTCGTGCGACTGGAGCATCGGGTTGACGAACTGTCAGCTCAGCAGTCCAAGATCCTGGATTCTATTCAGAACTTGATTGCTCAGCTGGCAGCCGCCAAGCTGATTGCCCCTCAGCCCCCTCTGCTGAAACCCAAATCGCCTCCTCCTCCTCCATCCCCTTCCTCTCCACATCCATCCCATGCTGGTTCTGTACATTCTTCCCGGTCATCTACCCCTTCCCAAAAGGCCACAGGAAAGGCCACCTATGCTGCTGTGACTGCAGGAGACCAAAGAGGTCCCAAGATCCCTGCTCCCAACAGGTTGAGGGGTGATGACCCCAAGACCGATGTTTGGGACTGGGCTGCTCGGACCAGAGCCTACTTGAGGGGATTTGTCAGTGCAGAACAGACCAAGGTGGCGATTGTTCTGGGACTGCTGGAAGGGCTTGCATTGAAGTGGGCCACTTCAACTTCCAGCAGCCTGCAGCAGTCCATGGAGAACTGGGCTTTTGGGCTTGGGGTAGACAAGCTTCTGCAGGCCTTGAAGGACCGGTTTGCAGACAAGGAGCGGGCCCGCAAGGCTGCTGACAGGATTGCTCCCCTGCGACAGCAGCGGTACAGCGGCACCCTGCAGGCCTTGTTTGCTGAATTCGAGCAGCTCACCTCCAGTCGTGGGTTGGTCATGTCTTCTGATGATTTGCTGACCAACTCTGCAAGGCAGTGTCTGAGAAGTTTGTTGTTACTTTGTACAACGCTGGGCACAAGGACTGGAGGTCCTTTGGCCGTGCAGCCCTGGAAATGGAGGCCAAGCTCCATGTCCAGGCCCCATCCTCTGATAGGAGGAAAGATGCCTTCCCCAGAGGTGGCAGAAGGGGAAAGGCAGCCTTCACTCATGCGGGGTCTGCCTCAGGATCAGATTCCGATTCCCAGCCTGATGCACCTTCAGGTGGGACCGGATCTGCTGCTGAGACAGATGTTGTAGCAGTCGTGACTCAAGCTGTTTTGGGAGCTCTGCAGCTGTAGAAGAACTTTTCCCCCACCACGGCCTCAGCTAGTGTCAAGGGGAAGGAAAAGGGACGTCGGCCTTCCTCTTCCCAGCGCCCTAACCTGCCCAAAGACGTCCATATGCCAACTGAACCTCTCAATCCCTCCACAATCCCCTGGCATGACCTCAAGATCCGGGAGGGAGTTTGGAGAAAACGCGAGGAAAGAGGGGTTTGCCTGAGGTGTGAGGGTCAGCACTCCTTGAAGGACTGCCCTTTCATGCCAAGCCCAGGTCAGTCAAAAAACTGAAACAGACCCTGGGGACTGCAGTTCCCCCAGTGCTGCACCTTCATCTACTCTGGTAGGTGAAACTGCAACTGTTTCAGTTCAGGATCCTGACCTGGATCAGGACCCGGGGCAGGATGAGCTACAGTCCTTTGCTGCCTTCTTCCTTCATGTGAAGGAACAGAAGAAGAGCAAGACTGATCTCATCATGCTTCGGCCACTGATCAACAGCACCAGGATCACTGGCTGTTGGACTGTGGGGCCAATAGGAACTTCATGTCTCTCAGTGCAGTTAAAAAGCTGCATCTGGGCATGAAACTTCAGCAGCTGCAGCAACCGCTGATACTGCGGATTGGTGACTCTATAGTGCTCAGCATCAGGGAGAAGGTCAAGGGTATTCCTGTGACCTTCGATACTGCTGGAAAAGTCAAACACAGTCTGAACTTTTACATCTTCCCTCAGCTGCCTTTTGACTTGGTGTTCTCCATGCAGTGGTTGAGGGCAATCAACCCCAGGATCGACTGACAGATCCCTAGAGTTGAGCTACCAGACAACCAGGGTTTTTATCAGCCATGCATGATTGCTGTTGATCATCACCTTAAGACCTCCTGCTACTGCCTGAGAGCGAGGGAATTTCATGCTCTCTCTCGCCAGTACCACCACGAGCGTCTGTTTATTGCTTTGGTCAAGCAAATAGATGCTCCCCCTGTTTCCTGTCGTCCTGAGATACAGCAGGTGGTAAATCAGTATGCTGATCTGATGCAGGAGCCCTTTGGGTTACCCAACCGGCCAACCAAGCATCACATCGAGCTGCTGCCTGGAGCGGTCCCTCCCAAGGGCCGCTTCTACAGGATGTCCCCTGCTGAGCTTGAGGAGCTCAGAAAGCAGCTTGAGACCCTGACCAGCAAAGGTTGGATCAGACCCAGCACTTCTGAATTCGGTGCACCTGTTCTCTTTGTACCCAAAGGGAACGGCGAGTTCAGAATGTGCATTGACTATAGGGGTCTCAATAAGATCACTAGGAAGAGTACTGAGCCACTTCCTAGGATCGATGATTTCCTGGACATGGTGCAGGGCTGCACAATGTTCAGCAAAGTCGACCTCAAATCTGGCTACCACCAGATTGAGATGGCAGAGGAGGATGTCTACAAGACAACCTTCAAGACCAGGTATGGGACTTACGAGTTCCTGGTCATGCCATTTGGACTTTGCAACGCCCCAGGCACCTTCCAGACTAAGATGCACCGCATCTTCAGGCCTTACCTGGACAAGTTTATGGTTGTCTACCTGAATGATATCGTGGTATTCAGCAAAACTGCCAGGGAAAATGCGGAGCACTTGACTTTTGTTTTTCAGTCGTTACACGACAACCAGTATAAGATCAACAGAGAGAAGTCCTCCTTTGGAGTTCCCTCTGTCATCTCTCTGGGTCATGTAATCTCTGGAGATGGTCTGGCTCCTGAAGCAGCCAAATTTGCTGCTATTCAGGAGTGGCCTCACCCTCAGACAGTGAGGGATGTCAGGTCCTTCATGGGTTTATCCTCCTACTACAGAAAGTTTGTCAAGAACTCTGCAGTGGCCGCACCCCTGACTAACCTAACAAAGAAGGATACTCCCTTTCTTTGGTCCCTCCACTGTCAGTTGGCCTTCACACGACTCAAGAAGGCCTTGACTCGTGCGCCTGTACTGAAGTTACCTGACCCCACTTTGACGTTCATCCTGACCACTGACGCCAGTCAATATGGCATTGGGGCGGTTCTTCAGCTGGATGATGGGAATGGTCTATGGCCAGTAGAGTTCATGAGCAAGAAGATCAAGACCCAAAAGCTCCAGGACTCAACTACGAGGAAGAGTTGTATGCTCTCGTCTGTGCCCTGAAACATTGGAAGCACTTTGTCCTGGGCAGGCACTTCAAGATCTTTTCAGATCACTCCACCCTGCAGTGGATGAAGTCCCAGGGAGAGTTGAACGATAAGCTGGCACGATACATTCAATTCATTGACATGTTTGACGTTGAATTGAAGCACAAGAAGGGCTGCGATAACAAGGTAGCAGATGCCCTCTCTCGTTGGCTTGACTCTTTTGCGTTGATCTCCTCTACTCACTCCTTTGTAGAGGAGACCCGTCAGACCATTGCTCGTCTACTGCCTCAGGACGAGACTTTTGGACCCATTGTCAGGAATCTGCAAGCGGATCCTTACTCTGAACCAGGCTATCCTCAGAGTTCAGATTTGTTGTATACTCGCAGCAGAGGTGAGGAGCACTTGTGCATTCCCCAGGACCAGCGGCTCAGGACAGTGCTGATGTCAGAGTGTCATGATGCCCGTGGACATTTTGGGTTCCCAAAGTCTTATGAAGCCTTGTCACAGCGCTTCTTCTGGAAGGAGATGCGGAGTGATATGCTGCGCTATGTGGACACATGTGAGCTCTGTCAAAGGAATAAGGTCCAGCGTAGACCTCCTTTGGGACTGCTCAAACCCTTACCCATACATGATGGCCCTGCTGAATCCGTGTCGATAGACTTCACAGATTTAGGCAAGACCACCCCTCGGGGCATGCGGCAAGTTGTTATCTGCGTGGACAGGTTCTCCAAATACGCAGAGTTCATCCCCTTGCCAGAGGTAGCTAGAGTACCGGCTGTGAGAGCAGCCTTTTCTGAGAGGTGGGTCACACCATGGAACGCCCACCTCTATAGTCAGTGATCGAGACCCCAAATTTTGCAGCGATGAGTGGTAGTCCTACTTTAAGGACTATCTGCACTCACGACTGGACATGACTTCTGGTCATCATCCTGAAGCCAATGGTTTGGCTGAAGTGATTAACCAAGTCTTATTACAGCTGCTGCGTCCTGTCATCTCTCCAGATCAACAGGACTGGGATCTTCATTTAGCGAGGGCACAACTCATGTATAACATGTTTGTCCACTCCTCGACAGGGTTCAGTCCATACCGGTTGCACTGGGGACGTGAACCACGACAGCCTCTTGATGACATCATCGACAAGGCTAAGCCTGATTTGACACCAGGCACAACAGAGTTCGCTAGACGTTATCGTTCAGATGTGGAAAGAGCCCGCGCGAACTTGTTCAAAGCCCAAAAGGCTATGATTGAACAAGCTAATCGCCACAGGCGGCCTTCCCCCATCCGCACTGGTGATCATGCCTGGGTGGCCAGTTCTGAGTTGTCGAGGGAGGAGGATATCTCCCCCAAGTTGTTGCCATGCTGCCTGGGTCCATGGCAGGTTCTAGATACAGTGGGCGCTGATCCCTTCGGTCCGTCGTATGTTATTGACGTCCCACTGCACCTACGCACCCACCCGGACTTCCATGCATCCAAGCTGCTGCCGTTTACTCCAGCTGATGCATTCCTAGAATGGCCCCCTCAGTTTGGTCCGCCAATCCTTGGTAAGGGATATGAAATTGACCGGATTGAGGATGAATGGGGCACAGGCCCCGATCGGCAATATCTTGTCAGGTTTGCATTCCAGCCTCCTTCTGAGAATAGGTGGTTCTACAGAAGAGACCTGCTCAAGACAGCAAAGTCCATTGTATTGCGATATGAAGCGGCTAAGAAGGGCAACCTTCCACGTCGTTAACCTCGCCTCCACCCCTAGCTCGGAGGTCCTCGCTCCCGGGGAGGGTAAGCCTGCAATGACTTGCTGATTTCTACTGCCGAGATTGGCTGCGAGGGTGTACACTAACCGATAGGGTTAGGTTTGTAATTTTGTTTGGCTGAGGGCTAACCGAGAAACCTGCCTGTAAGGAAATTCGTGAGGGACATATCTGCAAATCTGGGAAAATATAGGCCCAACACTAACCCGAATTCCTACAGCTACCCTAACTGCCTATAGCAGGCCCGGGCTACCCCTGGGACAGACAGGCCCTAAGCGGCCTATGCTACTAGACGGTCCTATAGCCTATAGTCGGGTCCGGTAGAGGCGGAGAGGCCGAAACAGCAACGGTACCTGTCGGTCAGTCAGTCCGGTCTAGGTCTAGGTAGTCTTTAGATAGGTTAGGCGCATCGGTTCAAGACTTTTGGCAGTTCATTTCACGCGAAGCAGCGTTGGAGAAGCCAAGCAAGTTGGTGGCGGTGACTGTCTGCAGGCGGCATCCTGAGACTCACCGTTGACAGCAGCCATAGCCGGCGTAGCCTGAGTGTGCCATAGCTGGGGCATCCTCAGCGCATCTACCCCTGGGGGTATCTGCGTCTGGCCGGGCTATTTCGAGGCTCTACACTGTGTACTCGTGGGTGGTGGCAGCCATAGCTGCCTGTTCATTCGCCAGAAATGTCCATCGGCACTGAAGACTTCATCGCAGGACCTGTTCTTCATCAGGGTGGTTGGCGCTGGCCTCTGGGAGGCCATTCTGATGTGGCGCTACTAACAGGGTGTAGGATAGAGAGTGGGGTGTGAGTTCTGAGAGTGGCGAGATACTGGAACAAACTTTGTTACAATAATTGTTTGAGTTGGCTCATCATCAGTGTCATTCCAATTGTGATCTTCCCAGGTTCCTTCTCGTGATTGGTTGTTGGGAGTTGTGTCAGAGAGTGAGAAACACTGCGTGTCTTCTCCCCATCTGTGCATGATTGTCTTCCGCTGCTTATTTCCACCTGTGTGCAGTTTGGACTCTGTCTCCTCTCTTCCCTTTTCTTATACATGTATGGGCATGTGTGAGATTGTCTGTGTGCGAGTGGCGATAAAATTCGTCAGACAATCAAGTTCATAACAGTTCACTCTTTTTCTTTCTCAATTCTACTTTCATCTTCTTCTCCTTCTCAAGTGCTTCCTTTAGTTGTTTGATATTTTCAACCACAATTTCTTCAGACACAATTATTGCTCTCCTCTTTTCGGTCTACAATCCTTCCAAGCTGCTCAATGATGTACTTATCAATTGCCTGATGACACTTGATTAGTACATCCTGAACGCGTACGACGTTGGTGTTTGTTTTGGCCTGTTCGATAGCAGCTCGTACTACCCTCAAGTCGAACTTGTCTCGCACATATGCCTCAGCTTCGGCACCTGCGCCACGAAGGTCAGAAATCAGTTGGTCCAAGCGGGCATTCAAACCCTTCTTCCGCTCATCCACTTGATGCCTGGTTATCAATGCTGAATATGAGTGAGACTTGATAGAAGAGAAAGGGAATAAATCGAGTTAGCACCGATAATTTCTAACAATTCTGGAAGAGAGACATTGTGAGGTGCGTCTGCCGCACAATAAATAATCAAATAACAATAATAAATTCCACGGCCGCACTATTCTACAACAGCAAGAAATTTAAACAACCGAAGAAGACAATAAATACAATTATTTCTAATTCTAACTACTGCTGTTCTTTATCTGTCTGTGTGATGACGTTCTAATTAAGAGTATATAGGTACCACCTCAGGCCACTGTGATCAGATACAACACACAAGTATGCACAGCACCACAACACGGCAAACGACAGGTAAGGATGCCAACTCCAATCAACAAACAATTTGTCAGCAATCTTCTCCTTCTTTTCTCTGCGTCGTTCCTAGTGCCAGTGCGATACCACACCCCTCTTGACAGATGGCACTACAGCTGTCCAGTCAGCCGTTCTATGAGTCGTACCACCTTCGTCTTCAAGGTGCAACTCTTACTTAGCAGCCACCTGCCTGGCACGTGTCATCCCTGGCGTGCCAACATAGCAGATCTGCAACATCAGCTCATCAGTGTCTAATCAATCAATGGTGGGATGCCACGTCAGCAAATGTGTGCTCTGGTCCTTCCCACTTGCCACTTCCTCGCGTCGTGGTGTCATACCGTCGCTCTTGCAGCCAATCAAATCAATGCCACATCAGCCAATGGAGCCAATGCCATAATAACAGGCTCGCCACATCAGAAGACAATGGTGTACGACACCTGCCTGCCACATCAGCAATCGGCTTGATGTCCGAAGGCCACGTCAGCATCTGTATCAGATTTGGTCGCGCCTCAGCTGCTAATGCAGCATGAGAATGCCACGTCAGCAATCTCCAGCAACCACGTCTCTAGACGTGGCACATAATACGCCCCGTCAGCGTGGGATCGCGATGTCGCCTCACTATCGCGATCCAGGCTGGCGCGCGGTCACTCTTGATCGTGATCCCGATTGCCACGTCAGCAATCGCATCGAGATCTAATCTTCTCGCCAGTGAAGTCCGTGCCACGTCAGCAACACCGGCGTTCTTCGTCGTTGTCCATGTCAGATCTTGTTGTCATCACATCGGTCGTCGTCGTCAGGAGTAAGCTCCGATACCAAATTGCAATGAACACAGATCTTGAAGACACTTGTCAACAATGCAAGCCCTGATGAATATACACCTGCTGATGATTATTAATAATCATAATCGTGCCCAGATAGAATGAGATGGGAGAATCATACACGGACGAAAAGAGAGAGGAGGGAGAATAGACTCAAAGAGTGGAGATACACAATGCCCACTTCTGCTTCGGGCTTCCTCCTCCATCACCACCTCAAATAATCAACAGTCTGAACGTACATCTGAAGTTCTACTACAACGTGCCACGTGGCACGTCCATCAGGCCTCGTCAGCACACTCGAGCAATGTCGACCTCAAGATGACCAGGTATGTGTCCACGATTACTTCACAGTCATGATCTCCTCCTGAGTGACGATAAATCAGAACAGCAGTGCCAGTCATGTAGCCCAGCCACGTCGGCATAGTACACGTGGCAGCGGGCACATCAGCAGCGACGTGTGGCAGCTGCGACGTCAGCATGCCCTGAAGACAATAGTCAGCCAGCCACCATGACGAGCCAGCAGCGGGTCGCCGCAGTCACCCCAAATGCCAGCGCTTCTTCTTCTTCTTCTTCTTCTTCTTTCCGAGGGAAAGAGAGAGAGGTTACTGGCAGAGGTTACTTCGGGCATGATGCCCAGGATCTGATCCGACATTTTCGTGGCAGACGTTGATTGGACATTCGACAAGGAGACTATTTTGGACTTCACTATTGCGGTCTCGTCCTCTCCCTCGCCTCCATCTTAGTCTCGCCTCTTCCCGCATCTCTCATTTGTGGCACCTCCCCAATGTGCGTGTGCAAGAAGGGACCTTTTGTCTATGTATGTGGTCACTCCTCCCTCTCTCACATGAGTGATGTATGATGGGATGTCGCGTCAGTATTTGACGAGTCAGGTCATATTGAGTCTTCCGTTGCGCCACTTTGTGCCATTTTTGTGCAGTAACCCGTGTTCTGCAGCAGTCTGGGCCCTCAAAACAGAGCCCATACGATCCAGGCCAAACTCGGCCTGCACCAGGTAGTGTGACCACGCACTGCCCTAGGAAAGTCAAAAGTCTAAGTCGACTGTCAGGTCAAAGGTACCGCGCCCAGGCCCTTGGTCGGATACACTCACTTGTTGTGCGCAGGTACCCAGACAGGGTCAAGGACAAGGAATTCGGTTTCAGGCCAATCTGGGCCGTCATTTGCACTAAGATCTTGACGGCTGAGGGATGCAGCATCCGGGGTCCAGACCCCACGTCAACGCTACGTAAGCGCTGACTTCCTGACTTTGACATTCATTCAGTCTTGCGTGAATGCTGGCTTCACGTGTTGACGACAACGCTGGCTGGACGCTGCGACGCTGGCTGGACGGGGGGGAGGGCGAGAACAGATGGAAGAAGAAGAAGAAGATGTCGTCCTACTCGTGCCCAATTGACATAAATACCTCCAAACCAGATTGCTTTTGCTACTAATAATAATGCACCCGTACCTAGCGGAATCAAATGAATGCCTATAATAGTAGTCATCTTATTTTTGTGCTTGTCTCACCTGCAGGTAACTGTTGACAATTATTGACGTCGCCGGCGTACGCTGTGCTGCAGGTTGCTGGGGCCAGATCCAGTTATGGCGCCCAGGTACATACTCAAACGCTGCAGGTATGGCCTCCACGCTGTCTCCCTACCTACTCCGCTACCTCCAGCGCAGCGCAGCGCTGTTGTGTGTGGTGCTGGTCCAGCAGTGTGTCACCCAAGAAGTGAGCTACTCGAACTGTGTCTGTGCCCAGCCGCTGCCCAGCTATAAGTAGCACTGGGCCTGGCTGGGCGCACCTGATGATGGGCCTGAAACGGCCCACTCGGTCCGGGCCCCTACAGGGCGTCCAAACCATGCTGCTGATGCAGCAAGGCGCAAAAATGTGTCTGGCCTAAAAACGGTCTCGCTCCTGTGTCCCCAGCCCAAGGCGTAGCCTTGGTGGGTCCTGCAAGTCCGAAACGTCAACTGCACGGACAAAAATAGGACAGCAAATAAGTAAGTAAATAAATAAATAAATAAAATGTTGCCTGTAGTTGAAACCTGCGGCCTGGGAGTCATTGTGGGCCTCCAAGGCGCGTGTCCGATGGGCACACGGGCTGGGGGCCCCTAAGCAACCGTCGGCCCCCTGAAGTGGGGTCGTGTGCAGGCTCGGTATGTAACACCCCTCCCTCCTTATGAAGTCAAGCCGGCTCGAGGGTGAAGCAGTGCCGAAGCTGACGATCCGAAGGTGGAACCTGGACGCGAGTACGATGTGGAGCTAAAGGTACCGGATTGCGTTGTAACTTGCGTTCATAACGTGTGAGAACATCGGGCGCTGTTGCCTGCAGATCCGCACGGGTCCACCATTGGTCGGCCTTATGGCTAGAGTAAGAGAAATGTATCAAGTATTATATCAGCTTATTGCTGTAGCGGCGCTGGGAGACGATGTCGCCCACCTCTTGAAAATCGCCCATAAAGGGTGGGTCTTGCGATCGTTGCCCGAGAAAGTTGTCATGTTCTGCTGGGCTGAGCAATGCTAACTTAGAACAATGGAAGGGTCCTTCGGGTGCATCCCAGCGGGCGGCACAATGAGCCAGGGCCCCATCCATTTTCGAAGGAGCTCGTAAGAAATATCTTGCTCGAGGCTGAACTCCGCAACGAAAACCCATACGAGGTTGCCGACGTGGAACGGACAAGGAAGACGCTGGCGGTTGGCCTGTTGGCTCATACGTTGTTGCGTCTACGACACCTGGTCGCGTGCCTTGACAAGAAGCTCTTGCATCTGACGAATGAAGAGAAGATGGTCATCACTCTCGACCGCCGGTGGGCTAATCATGTCCAATGGAAAAGTGACCGGCGAGCCATGCTCGAACTCAAAGGGTGACATCCCGATAGCCGGATGGATAGATGAGTTGTATGCCAACTCGACATCCGGCAGCCGCCTAACCCAATCCTTCTGGTTGGGAGAGTACGAAGTAGGACCTGTGCGGTCTGATGCGCCCTCCTCGTTTGACCATCGGTTTGCGGGTGGCGAGCCAAACACGGCTTTAGAGATGAGCCCCATCGTTTGACGAGTGCCAATAAAAAATCGTACGTGAAATGAGTGCCGCGGTTGGAGACGATTTCCTTGGGGTAACCCTTGGTTCGAATCCAATCGGCGTAAAGAACATTTGCCAACTCCAGGGGGGCCTTGGCATGATAGCGGCAAGGCAAAAACATGGCAAACTTGGTCAGTCAGGCGACCATCGTGAGAATCCCATCCACACAAGTCTTGTGCTTGGGGAACGGCCCGGTAATGTCCATGGCAATCACTTCCCTTCGGCGCAAGGGGACCTGTAATGGTCGCAACTCGACTTACAGATAAGGATTGTGGGATTTGCAACGTCGGCAAACCTCGCATGACTCGCAATAGTGTGTGATGTCGTCAAGAAGATCGGGCCACTAAAAGCGCTCGTGGACTCGGTGAATTGTACGATTGACTCCAAAATGTCCGGTGACAGGAGCATCGTGGAACTCGGCAAGAAGCCGCGGGTGAATCTCGCAGCACACAAAGAAGATCATTCCCCGGCAAGTGGACGAGCAAATATCCCCCTTGGATCCGATAGTGCGATGGTGCCGGATTGGGAGAGAAACCATTCGCATACTTGTCACGGAACTCGGCGTCGGACTGGTAGCCGCGTGTTGCATACCATAACGGTGCAGACCAGACCAAGAACCGATCTTTCTCGCCAAATACAAGATTGCACAACGGAAGGCTTGAATACCAGTGATCCGATCAATCAAGCTGCCATGCAGACCAAACCTGCATCATCATCATTCCATGGTGTGAAGGGGGGCTGACACGCACACAGGAAGAATGCGTCAGTCCCCCGATCATACACAGACGAAGAAGAGGGGGATGAGACGAAGGGGAGGGAGAAGATGGAAATGTCGTCAACACCAAGTCTTCGATACAGATCCAAATAATCCCTCCCTAGAGGTCTAAATCCCGATGTTGAGTCTGAACCCCAATGTCGCCCATCTCTCTCTCTCTCTCTCTCTCTCTCTCTCTCTCTCTCTCTCTCTCTCTCTCTCTCTCTCTCTCTTAGCCCGTAGATGCAGAGAAGTCAGGGGGCGAGAGGGTGAGGTAAAGATGATGGAC